CTTCTTTTGTTTTTTTACATTTGAAAATGTGTAAAAAAACTTTGATCTACTTTTTTTTTTGTTATACAGTGGACCCCCGGTTAACAAATTTTTTTCATTCCAGTAGTATGTTCAGGTGCCAGTACTGACCGAATTTTTTCCCATAAGGAATATTGTGAAGTAGATTAGTCCATTTCAGACCCCCAAACATACACGTACAAACGCACTTACATAAATACACTTACATAATTGGTCGCATTTGGAGGTGATCGTTAAGCGGGGGTCCACTGTATTTGAAAATATGTAAAAAAAACGTAGATCTACTTTTGTAGCACTACACATGTGAACGTAGATCTGCTTGGACTGTTTACGGGTTAAAGGAGGTCTCAACTAAACCAAAAATATTTGAGCTGTTTTAAACACTGATTACTGTAGGTTCTTTCCATACTTGACATTGCAAGATAATGAAGCTATTACTGCTGTGTATGATGTAATGGAAATGATCTAGAAAACTGACAAGTTGAAGAACGACACTTGTGCATCGTTTGGGAATCTTCATTGAGAAAATTGCCTGGCTTCTTCAGCCCAAATTTATATTAAAAGGTGGAAGATGAGAAGGAGTTTGAGGTAATCAGTCCTCAGCTTGCGATTGATGGACTAAACACATCAACTTCAGGAAGAGATTGATTCCCTCAAACTACTCCCCATCTTCCACTGCTCTTCTCTGTATTGGACGAAGAAGCCACTGGCTGGTGAAACATTTCCTAAAAGATTAAGTGTTGAATAAGTGTCATACTTCATGTTGTACGATGTAGTTGGTCATACTACATCATCATGGCGTCAACTACTACATCACTCATGACGTCAACTACTACACACTCATGGCGTCAAATACTACACTCATGACGTCAACTACTACATCACATGACGTCAACTATACCTCATACAACGTCAACTACTACATCACTTTACGACGTCAAACTACTACATCATCTGGTCAACTACTACATCACTCACGACGTCAACTACTACGTCACTCACAACGTCAACTACTACTCACTCACAACGTCAACTACTACATCACTCACGACGTCAACTACTACATCACTTTACGACATCAACTATCATCACTCACAACGTCAACTACTACATCACTCTCGACGTCAATACTACATCACTTTTCGACGTCAACTACTACATCACTCATGACGTCAACTACTACATCACTCACGACATCAACTACTACATCACTCATGACGTCAACTACTACATCACTCATGACGTCAACTACTACATCACTCATGACGTTAATACTACATCACTCACGACGTCAACTACTACATCCTCACGACGTCAACTACTACATCCCCTCATGACGTCAACTACTAATCACTCATCACGTCAAATACTACATCACTCTGACGTCAACTACTACTCACTCATGACGTCAACTACTACATCACTCATGACGTCAACCACTACATCACTCATGACGTCAATATCTACATCATTCATGACGTCAACTACTACATCACTCACGACGTCAACTACTACATCACTATGAGTCAACTACTACATCACTCACGACGTCAAATATACATCCTCATGACGTCAACTCACCGATGATAAAAACAATCACTAATTGTAAACTAATCAGGAATGTCATTTAAATTACTTTAATGGAAGCAATGAACTTTGGAGATTGAGAAAAATGATGATGAAACAACTCAAATATTTTTCAGAGAACTTTTCATTAACAGATCTTAACGTAGTAGTAGTGTCATCTTGAGACACAGACAGACAGGCAGGCAGACGACAGACAGGCAGACAGACAGCAGGGAGGCAGCAGGCAGACAGACAGACAGGCGACAGACAGGCAGGCAGGCAGAAAGACAGACAGGGCAGACAGGAGGCAGAAAGACAGACAGACAGGCGACAGACAGCAGACAGACAGGCAGGCAGGGCAGACAGACAGGCAAGACAGACAGGCAGACAGGGAGACAGGCGACAGACAGGCAGACAGACAGGGAGGGAAAGGCAGACAGACAGGCAGACAGACAGGCAGAAGACAGGCAGGCAGGCACAGGCAGACAGACAGCAGACAGACAGGCAGACAGGCAGACAGGCAGACAGCAGGCAGGCAGAAAGACAGACAGGGCAGGCAGGCAGAAGACAGACAGGCAGACAGACAGGCAGACAGACAGGCAGGCAGGCAGACAGACAGACAGCAGACAGACAGGCAGACAGACAGGCAGACAGGCAGACAGGCAGACAGGCAGACAGACAGGCAGACAGACAGGCAGACAGGCAGGCAGGCAGACAGACAGGCAGACAGACAGGCAGACAGACAGGCAGACAGACAGGCAGGCAGACAGGCAGACAGGCGGAGGCAGGCAGACAGGCAGGCAGACAGACAGGCAGGCAGACAGGCAGGCAGGGAGACAGGCAGACAGGCAGACAGACAGACAGGCAGGCAGGGCAGGCAGACAGGCAGACAGACAGGCAGACGGCAGACAGGCAGGCAGGCAGACAGACAGGCAGACCCGACGACGAAGGCAGGCAGAAGGCAGGCAGGCAGACAGCAGGCAGACAGACGGCAGGCGACAGGCAGGCAGGCAGGCAGACAGGCAGACAGACAGGGAGGCAGACAGACAGGCAGACAGACAGGAAGGCAGGCAGACAGATGGGCAGGCAGACAGACAGGCAGGCAGACAGGCAGACAGGCAGGCAGGAAGACAGACAGACAGGCAGACAGGCAGGCAGACAGGCAGACAGACAGGCAGAGACAGACAGGCAGGCAGACAGACAGACAGGCAGACAGGCAGACAGGCAGACAGACAGGCAGGCAGGCAGACAGACAGGCAGGCAGACAGGCAGACAGACAGGCAGGCAGGCAGACACAGGCAGACAGACAGGCAGACAGAGGCAGACAGACAGGCAGACAGACAGGCAGCAGCAAGAGGCAGACAGACAGACAGGCAGACAGACAGGCAGACAGACAGGCAGGCAGGCAGACAGAGACAGGCAGACAGACAGGCAGGCAGGCAGACAGAGGCAGACAGACAGGCAGACAGGCAGGCAGACAGACTGGCAGACGACAGGCAGGCCCGGCAGACGACAGAGACAGGCAGACAGGCAGGCAGGAGGCAGACAGAGGCAGACAGAAGCAGACAGGCAGGCAGACGAGGGCAGGCGACAGACAGACAGACACACACACACAGACACACACACACCACACCACACACACACACACACACACACCACACACACACATACACACACAACACACACACCCACCAACACACACACCACACACACACACCACACACGTACAATTCTACTGAATCAACAATGTTCCACAGCCATTTTAAAATGTAGTAAAGTACAGCTAGTAAATGTACCTTAATGTCTTTTGGCAATTAATCAGTAACAAAAAAAACAGCAAGGAAGAGGGTAAAAAAGGCACATTAAAATGGCTGACCAATAATTTGTTTTTCACGAAAAAATCATTTACTGCAATTAACATTCTTCAAAATCAATACTGAATAATACCTGACATTCCTCTGGAGAAAACAAATAAGACACAACTGCAATTTACAAACTTGATCAAGGTGTTTTCAGTCATTGATGGTAATGTGTCGGTCAAAAAAAAGTTTTCAGCCAGGCAGAACTTCTCAAAGTTCGTCTCTGGTGAAAGAAACGAATACACAGAGAAGTTCTCTATTTGTGCTATGGTCTGCCCCAAAACTAAGCTAGTTAGCTGTTTACTAACAAGCTCTCTCTCTTTCTCTCTCTCCCCCTCACTCCTCTGTCTTGCTTGCTCTCTCTGTATTGCTGCTCTTGCTCTGGTCCCCCTCACACTTACTTTATCTGTATTTCTCACTCTCACTCTATCTCACTCTTTCGTTCTCTCTGTAATGCTGACTCTCTCACTTGTTCACTCTATCTCTGTCTCTCAGTACTAATTTTCTTAATAGTTAAAAATTCCATGCTAGGGCATTTTAGAACAAAAACAATCTTAAAACAAGTGACATTAAAGAAAATCAAACATTCAGAGAATAAAAACTATAATAATTACTGCACAAAAAATAAAAATCTGCTATGCCCAGGCCAGTTCACTCAATCTGGGAACATATCATGGAAAAATGCAAAATATTAATAGAAAATGAATCCAAGCCAAGATTTATCTATAAAAAAACAGGATGAATTTATAAGAGCAGCTGAAGACTAAGCTTCCCTATCTGGATGTCATTTTAGCTCTAATGAACCTTACAAAATGTAAATACAGTGGACCCCCGGTTAACGATATTTTTCCCTTCAGAAGTATGTTCAGGTGCCAGTACTGACCCAATTTGTTCCCTTAAGGAATAATTTCGAATAGATTAGTCCATTTTGACCCCCAAATATACTGTACAAAGCCACTTACATAAATACACTTACATAATTGGTCGCATTGGGAGGTGATGTTAGCGGGGGGTCCACTGTATAAGAAGTTGAGCACTGTGGTAAATCTACTGGTTCCTGTTAGGCTGGTCTTACACCCAGTTCAATTACAGGACTCAATTTTTGTAAGGCTCCTGCGTGAAGGTAAACTGGGGTACTGGCTCTATTACAAACACCTGTACCCATTAACTTGGCTTCAGATTAACAAAATTTACTTTACCTGCTGTTGAAGCTCACATCTGTGATCAGTATCAAGAGTTTGTCTACTCCTGAAGCCAAGCTTCAGTATATTGTTTTAGGCAACATGGACAGGAGAGCATCAGGGTTTAAAAACCCCGGTCATTTTGTTTGCAATCTAAGCACTCGACCCAATACTATGAGGCCACGTGACCTGGGAATTGAATTTTAAAAATATCTCTTGTGGAAAAAAACATATAGAGGTAAAACAAGCAACTCACTTTGTTGGGAAGAACTGGCTTATCATCAGCAGAAATGATGAAGGATATGATCCCCTCACCTGTGCCCCTAACATTGTAAATATAATGCTCAAACAAGTGAGAACGGGGATTACCTACAAACTAAGAGATAGTTACCCGAGCGACTAAAACTTTGGGATCCACTGCATCCTTTTGCTTGCAATGAAATAAACAAACTCAATAAAGGTCTCCTTTATGGAGAAATCATCATCTACACAACTAACTACTTTTGTAAGTATGCTGTGAAAAAGCTGCTTTTATGAATTTAATAAGAGACATAATTTTACAGAAATCTGCCTTAAGTAAATTACATACTTATTTTCCATTTATTATTATTATTATTATTATTATTATTATTATTATTATTATTATTATTGTATTCAGGGAAAAGTGCTAAATTCATACAGGGTGTAGACACATGTGAAACATCTGGGTAACTTTATTTGTAGACGTTTCACCATGTAGTAGGTTGGTAGACAGCAACCACCCAGGGAGGTACTACCGTCCTACCAAGTGAGTGTAAAACGAAGCCTGTGATTGTTTTACATGATGGTAGGATTGCTGATGTCTTTTGTCTGTCTCATAAATATGCAAGATTACAGGCATGTCTTGCTACTTCTACTTACACTTAGGTCACACTACACATACATGTACACATTTATTTATACACACTCATCTGAGTTTTCTTTGATTTTATCTTAATAGTTCTTGGTCTTATTAAATTTTTCCCTTTTTTATCCATGGGGAAGTGGAATAAGAATCTTTCCTCCGTAAGCCTGCGTGTTGTAAAAGTCAACTAAAATGCCGGGAACAATGGGCTAGTAAAACCCCCTTTTCCCGTAAAGATTACTAAAAGAATAAGGAAGAAGAAAATTGTCAAAGTGGGAAGTCTGAATGTGCGTGGAGTTGTGCGTGATAAGAAAGAGATGATTGTGGATGTTTTGAATGAGAAAAAGCTGGATTTTCCTGGGGTTTAAGTGAAAAAAAAGCTGAAGGGGGTGGGAGAGGGTTTTAGTGGAGAGGAATAAATGGGATTAGGTCAGGGGTTTCAAATAGAGTTAGAGCTAAAGAAGGAGTAGCAATTAATGTTGAAGGATAAGCTATGGCAGGAAAAGAGGGACTATAAATGTATTAATTCAAGGATTATGTGGAGCAAAATAAAGATTGGATGTGAAAAGTGGGTTATAATAAGCGTGTATGCACTGGAGAAGAGAGAAGTGTAGAGGAGAGAGAGAGATTTTGGGAAATGTTGAGTGATTGCGTGGGGAGTTTTGAATCAAGTGTGAGAGTAATGGTGGTTGGGGATTTTAATGCTAAAGTGGGTAAAAATGTTATGGAGGGAGTAGTAGGTAAATTTGGGGTGCCAGGGGTAAATGTAAATGGGGAGCCTTTAATTGAGCTATGTGTAGAAAGAAATTTGGTAATAAGTAATACATATTTATGAAAAAGAGGATAAATAAATATACAAGGTATGATGTAGCACGTAATGAAAGTAGTTTATTAGATTATGTATTGGTGGATAAAAGGTTGATGGGTAGGCTCCAGGATGTACATGTTTATAGAGGGGCAACTGATATATCGGATCATTATTTAGTTGTAGCTACAGTTAGAGTAAGAGATAGATGGGAAAAGAGGAAGGTGGCAACAACAAGTAAGAGGGAGGTGAAAGTGTATAAACTAAGGGAGGAGGAAGTTCGGGTGAGATATAAGCGACTATTGGCAGAAAGGTGGGCTAGTGCAAAGATGAGTAGTGGGGGGGTTGAAGAGGGTTGGAATAGTTTTAAAAATGCAGTATTAGAATGTGGGGCAGAAGTTTGTGGTTATAGGAGGGTGGGGGCAGGAGGAAAGAGGAGTGTGATTGGTGGAATGATGAAGTAAAGGGTGTGATAAGAGAGAAAAAGGTAGCTTATGAGAGGTTTTTACAAAGCAGAAGTGTTATAAGAAGAGCAGAGTATATGGAGAGTAAAAGAAAGGTAAAGAGAGTGGTGAGAGAGTGCAAAAGGAGAGCAGATGATAGAGTGGGAGAGGCACTGTCAAGAAATTTTAATGAAAATAAGAAAAAATTTTGGAGCGAGTTAAACAAGTTAAGAAAGCCTAGGGAAAAATATGGATTTGTCAGTTAAAAACAGAGTAGGGGAGTTAGTAGATGGGGAGATGGAGGTATTGGGTAGATGGCGAGAATATTTTGAGGAACTTTTAAATGTTAAGGAAGAAACAGAGGCAGTAATTTCATGCACTGGTCAGGGAGGTATACCATCTTTTAGGAGTGAAGAAGAGCAGAATGTAAGTGTGGGGGAGGTACGTGAGGCATTACGTAAAATGAAAGGGGGTAAAGCAGCTGGAACTGATGGGATCATGACAGAAATGTTAAAAGCAGGGGGGGATATAGTGTTGGAGTGGTTGGTACTTTTGTTTAATAAATGTATGAAAGAGGGGAAGGTACCTAGGGATTGGCAGAGAGCATGTATAGTCCCTTTATATAAAGGGAAAGGGGACAAAAGAGACTGTAAAAAATTACAGAGGAATAAGCTTACTGAGTATACCAGGAAAAGTGTACGGTAGGGTTATAATTGAAAGAATTAGAGGTAAGACAGAATGTAGGATTGCGGATGAGCAAGGAGGTTTTAGAGTGGGTAGGGGATGTGTAGATCAGGTGTTTACATTGAAGCATATATGTGAACAGTATTTAGATAAAGATAGGGAGGTTTTTATTGCATTTATGGATTTAGAAAAGGCATATGATAGAGTGGATAGAGGAGCAATGTGGCAGATGTTGCAAGTATATGGAATAGGTGGTAAGTTATTAAATGCTGTAAAGAGTTTTTTATGAGGATAGTGAGGCTCAGGTTAGGGTGTGTAGAAGAGAGGGAGACTACTTCCCGGTAAAAGTAGGTCTTAGACAGGGATGTGTAATGTCACCATGGTTGTTTAATATATTTATAGATGGGGTTGTAAAGGAAGTAAATGCTAGGGTGTTTGGGAGAGGGGTGGGATTAAATTATGGGGAATCAAATTCAAAATGGGAATTGACACAGTTACTTTTTGCTGATGATACTGTGCTTATGGGAGATTCTAAAGAAAAATTGCAAAGGTTAGTGGATGAGTTTGGGAATGTGTGTAAAGGTAGAAAGTTGAAAGTGAAACATAGAAAAGAGTAAGGTGATGAGGGTGTCAAATGATTTAGATAAAGAAAAATTGGATATCAAATTGGGGAGGAGGAGTATGGAAGAAGTGAATGTTTTCAGATACTTGGGAGTTGACGTGTCGGCGGATGGATTTATGAAGGATGAGGTTAATCATAGAATTGATGAGGGAAAAAAGGTGAGTGGTGCGTTGAGGTATATGTGGAGTCAAAAAACGTTATCTATGGAGGCAAAGAAGGGAATGTATGAAAGTATAGTAGTACCAACACTCTTATATGGGTGTGAAGCTTGGGTGGTAAATGCAGCAGCAAGGAGACGGTTGGAGGCAGCGGAGATGTCCTGTCTAAGGGCAATGTGTGGTGTAAATATTATGCAAAAAATTCGGAGTGTGGAAATTAGGAGAAGGTGTGGAGTTAATAAAAGTATTAGTCAGAGGGCAGAAGAGGGGGTTGTTGAGGTGGTTTGGTCATTTAGAGAGAATGGATCACAGTAGAATGACATGGAAAGCATATAAATCTATAGGGGAAGGAAGGCGGGGTAGGGGTCGTCCTCGAAAGGGTTGGAGAGAGGGGGTAAAGGAGGTTTTGTGGGTAAGGGGCTTGGATTTCCAGCAAGCGTGCGTGAGCGGTGTTAGATAGGAGTGAATGGAGACGAATGGTACTTGGGACCTGACGATCTGTTGGAGTGTGAGCATGGGTAATATTTAGTGAAGGGATTCAGGGAAACCGGTTATTTTCATATAGTCGGACTTGAGTCCTGGAAATGGAAGTACAATGCCTGCACTTTAAAGGAGGGGTTTGGGATATTGGCAGTTTGGAGGGATATGTTGTGTATCTTTATATGTGTATGCTTCTAGACTGTTGTATTCTGAGCACCTCTGCAAAAACAGTGATAATGTGCAAGTGTGGTGAAAGTGTTGAATGATGATGAAAGTATTTTCTTTTTGGGGATTTTCTTTCTTTTTTGGGTCACCCTGCCTCGGTGGGAGACGGCCGAATTGTTGAAAAAAAAAAAAAAAAAAAGTTTCACCATCCAGTGGGAAGACTGTAGAACTTGAAATTGAGCAACTGATTACCTCGTCTTTTGTACATGGTTCTACAGTCTTCACATTATGTCCATGTATTGTATTTATAAAGCCACTGGATGGCAAAATGTCTACAAATAAGATAACCAGATGTTGCACGTGTCTAATTCTTCAGATTGTCGGTATTGTATATGATTCACGTACGGGCGATAAAGTGACTAAGGTATGAGCAGGGCAGAGTGGGGGATAATTAGGTTTAACATAAAGGAGAGAAGTGTTGCTCAATTACTGTACATTGATCAAGAAAGCTTCATTAGCATCAAGAAGGAACTTGATTAGTAAAGTTTACTTATCAGCCAAGTTAACCTCAAAAATTTTTTTTTGTTTTACTGCAGATAAAAATGTACAGAATTTTCTGATATCAGGTATAAACATTACAGTTTCAAATGTTAATAATATAAATCTTTGGTAAGCTCTCTTAAAAAATATTCTAAATAGTGCAATTTTTTTGCAAATGCATTTGAAAAAGTGCCTCTAAAATTGAATAGCAAATACTATGAGGGTCTTTCCGTGTGATATTCAATCCTGGATGTTCACTTTCAACTGAATTTACCCAAAAATCTTATAATGTACAGTAGGCATCATAAATATGAAAGTACATAAATATGCTTTAACCAGGCTACTTGCCTGACAGTTTGGAGAAGTGACATTGCAACTTTTGTATGCAAGATAATGCTCCAAACATTCTTCCAAAGGCATAAAGTAGTGGCTAAATGATCATGATTTAAAATACTTTAATGACTGGCCTGGCAACTCAGTGACTTCAATCTGACAGAGAACATTTACAATCTTATCACGGAACAGGTGGGATTTGAACCCATGGCCAGTGAGTCATGAGTCATTGACAATCTTATTAAATGTTAGATTAGTGGCATGGACATGTCCTCTAATCCAAATATTTGGATTGCAAATAAAAGGTGTGGATGGATAATGCCTTTTATCCTCCACAAGTTAGCGTTATTAGTACCTAGGAGATGGAGTACATTCAGGAGAAAGGTAATCCTATGCAATAACAATTTACATGAGGAAGTCAAACAAATTTCATTATTTTATTTCTAAAAAATAGGTTATGGTGAGAGATATTGTTTTCTGTGTGATAGATTTGTTTATTTTTATCAACACATCAGCTGTCTCCCACCGAGGGAGGGTGACCCCAAAAGAAAAAAAACACTTTCATTATCACTTATTCGACCATTGTCTTGCCAGAGGCATACTGATATTACAGTGCATATTTATGAAGCCTACTATAGACGATGCTAGCAAAGTCCTCTTGATCAAAGGAATTTACACAAATAACCTACACACATAGGATGTAATGGTCTAAGTTGGACCTAAACATTGTCATAAGTTTCTCTTTCCTACGTGCGGATTATTTGTTTACTGTCCCAGTCACGGTATTGTGAATTTTTATTCTTCGAAGAAATTTGATCAAATTTTGTTACCCTATCCCTACTATACCACACATTATCCCCCCTCACAGGTTTTGTACTTCCCAAAAACATGATATATAATAATCACCCCACAAAGACAAAAAAAATAGGTATCTTTATTCCCCCCTGGCTCAGGTCTTGGGGCACAGCAGCAGTCGTTCCTACATCAGATAAATACAATATAACCTGAAGTGCTATTTTCTTTCTTTCAACACACCGGCCGTATCCCACCGAGGCGGGGTGGCCCAAAAGGAAAAACAAAAGTTTCTCCTTTCAAATTTAGTAATATATACAGGAGAAGGGGTTACTAGCCCCTTGCTCCCGGCATTTTAGTCGCCTCTTACAACACGCATGGCTTACGGAGGAAGAATTCTGTTCCACTTCCCCATGGAGATAAAAGGAAATAAACAAGAACAAGAACTAGAAAGAAAATAGAAGAAAACCCAGAGGGGTATGTATATATATATACGCTTGTACATGTATGTGTAGTGTGACCTAAGTGTAAGTAGAAGTAGCAGTACTTCTACTTACACTTAGGTCACACTACACATACATGTACAAGCGTATATATATACATACCCCTCTGGGTTTTCTTCTATTTTCCTTCTAGTTCTTGTTCTTGCTATTTATCCCAGAGATTCCTGAACGAAGAGATAGTAACAGCAACAGCAGCAGCATTAACAGCAATGACTGTGTTACAGAGACAAGAACGTCAAGCAGTAGCAAAGAGATACAGAATGAAAAATCACCAAGAATAATTAGTCACAATACTGTAACTATAATTCACAATACTATAGCTAGAAGAAATCACAAATAACACAATTAAAAAACGAAACGTCTGATCGACATTTTGGTCAGTTCTGATCCATTGTCAAGTCACAACTGAACAAGAAAAACCAGAGAACAAAGGACTTCTTTTTCTCACTCGGTTGTGACATGAAATGGTCCAGAGTGAACCGAAACATCATAAGTTTCCCCTTCTAAGTCCAGGTTAACTGTGATAAAAATCCAAAAATCATACCTTACGCAATATGCTACTAAGCCTCAATCTGAAGAAGAAATTTTAAATATTTTGGTCTATCCTGGAATATTATGATAATGGTCTGGGGCCTGTGATATACCTTTGACTAGTTTCAAAAGTTTTTCTACCCTCACAGTCTGGCCTGGGGCCAAGCTTTTCTATAGACAGCCTCTTCAAGTAAGTCGTTTCTGTTGGCAGGCCAGTGGTCCACAACCTTGTTGATCAAGCACTTAGCACAATGGACCAAGACTTTGTCTAAGTTTCCTCTCTAAATGGTAGGTTAGTTTTGTGACTAAGGATACATCAGTGGAAGTTTGAAATAATGACATCAGAGATATCAAAGCATAAAATATGGCAAGATAGCATGATCAAGTATAAGTAATGTGCTCAAGTAACACTCAAAACTGTAGAGAAAACAAAACTAGTTCAAGATAATGCACTCAGAAAATACAAAATTGTAAGCAAAGAAAAAAGGAATTAAATCACAGCAATATCTTAATTACTGTGTGAAATACGAAGTCACTGCTGTACTTAATATTTAACAAGGATAAAAGAAGACATATGCAAAATTTGTGAATGTCACGAATGTATACTCACTGAAGACTGGCCATCCAGTGAACGTGCTTTCCGGAGGCGACTCTTGCATGCATCGAGATCCAGCCTGACAAATAATGAACACTGTCAAATCTAAAGATATTACTATTGTCTCTTAACATACTATATATTTAATGCATGACAATAAAAGCTGGCTGTTTCCTATGTCATATTCTTAATGGTCTTGGATTAAGTGATTCAACAGAGACTATCACATCAGTAAAAGAATTTTTAGAAAAACATGTATGCAAACACTAGGACGTTTTGCTCCTGAGACCTTGATCATGTCTAACACACACAGGTTAAAAGACAGTGTTAGAAGTGATCAAGGTCTCAGGACCAAAACGTTTTCTAATATGTCCTACTGTTTGCTTATGTGTTTATCTAAACCAACTTGCTGGTATTTATTACCAAGGTTTATACCAAAAAGAATTGTACACAACATATACAAAGTGCAATGAACTGATTCTGTCTATGAAATAACGCATATATTGTTTTCTAAAAGAGAAAAACCTGGCATTTTCCTGCCTACAAAAGTTGCTCTTCATTTACACTTATTGTAGGTGAAGAATTAGACTTTTTTTTTTTTTTCCAACAAGTCGGGGGTCTCCCACCGAGGCAGAGTGACCCAAAAAAGAAAGAAAATCCCCAAAAAGAAAATGCTTTCATCATCATTCACCACTTTCACCACACTCCCGCATTATCACTGTTTTTGCAGAGGTGCTCAGAACACAACAATTTAGAAGCATATACGTATAAAGATACACAACATATCTCTCCAAACTGCTAATATCCCAAACCCCTCCTTTAAAGTGCAGGCATTGACACATGTGCAATATCTGGGTATCTTTACTGTAGACATTTTCCATTGTGGAGTTAATAAAAGTATTAGTCAGAGGGCTGAAGAGGGGTTGTTGAGGTGATTTGGTAATTTAGAGAGAATGGATCTTAGAATGACATGGAGAGCGTATAAATCCGTAGGGGAAGGAAAGCGGGGTAGGGGTCGTCCTTGAAAAGGTTGGAGGGAGGGGGTAAAGGAGGTTTTGTAGGCGAGGGGCTTGGACTTCCAGCAAGCATGCGTGAGCATGTTAGATAGGAGTGAATGGAGACGAATGGTACTCGAGACCTGACGAGCTGTTGAAGTGTGAGCAGGGTAATATTTAGTGAAGAGATTCAGGGAAACTGGCTATTTTTATATAGCCAGACCCGAGTACTGGAAACGGGAAGTACAATGCCTGCACTTTAAAGGAGGGGTTTGGAATATTGACAGTTTGGAGGGATATGTTATATATCTTTACATATGCTTCTAAACTGTTGTATATGGGAGCCTCTGCAAAACAGTGATTATGTACGAGTGAGGTGAAAGTGTTGAATGATGATGAAAGTATTTTTTTTTTTTTTTGGGTCACCCTGCCTCGGTGGGAGACAGCCGACTTGTTGAAAAAAAAAAAAATTCACCATCCAGTGGCTTTATCAATACAAGTTCAAGGACACAATTAGAAGACTCTAGAACTATATACAAATTCAAGGACATGATTGGAAGACTGAAGAAATATATACAAATTCAAGGACATAATTGGAAAACTGAAGAACTATATACAAATTCAAGGACATGATTGGAAGACTGGAGAACTATATACAAATTCAAGGACATGATTGGAAGACTGAAGAACTATATACAAATTCAAGGACATAATTGGAAGACTGAAGAACTATATACAAATTCAAGGACATGATTGGAAGACTATATACTAAAGACAAGATAATCAAATAATTCTAGTCTTCCCATTACAGTGGTACCCCAAGTTTCAGCCATAATTCGTTCCAGAAGGCTGTTCGAGTGCCATTACCGAACGAATTTGTTCCCATAAGGAATAATGCAAATTAGATTAGTCTATTTCAGACCCCCAAAAATACACTTACAAAAGCACTTACAATAATACACTTACATAATTGTTCGAGTTGGGAGCTGTACGAAACTCGAGGTACCACTGTACGTCCATGTACTGTATTGATAAAGCCACTGGATATTAAAACATCTACAATAAATATACCCAGATGTTACACATGTTTAATTCTTCATCTTGTATGTGATGTATACCATATATATACCACTTATTGTAGGTGTAATACCAAACATTATTTACGATGAAAGTTCACATCAGTACGCCACAACTACTTGAACCAGAAAATATGGGATGGAAATGGAGTGAATCTAGTTTTGAACTTTTCTGATGTTGTTGAATCAGATCCTTGAAAACTGCCTTCAGATCATAACCTGCTCGTGTCAAAAGCAATACAGGTTCTTTGTAAATATTGCAAGACTAGGTTGATATGTATGGTACAATATTGTGATAATACAGGCAGCAGATTTAAGAATTTGTTCAATCATATCCAGTTTGTACTGTTCAGGCATTTAACCCGTAAATGGTCCAGCAGATCTACGTTCCCCCTGTGTAGTGCTACAAAAGTAGATCTACGTTTTTTTTACATATTTTCAAATATAATAAAAAAAAAAGTAGATCAAAGTTTTTTTACACATTTTCAAATGTAAAAAAACAAAAAGAAGATCTACTTTTTTTACATACTTTCAAATGTTGAAAAAACGTATATATACGTTTGGACCGTTTACGGGTTAAATATGTTAAGTGTGGGAATTATTTCTTATGACAGTAAGGGGTTCCTTGTTCTTTCATTTTATACTGTACGTATACATATTTTTTAAACGTGCTTGGCCGTCTCCCACCAAGGCTAGGTGACCCCCCCCCCAAAAAAAAATACACTTTCACCATCATTTTTCACTACCAGTCTCTCTCCAGAAGCAAGCAGATACAACAGTTTAGATGTCCCTCTAAACAGCAAATACAGTGGACCCCCGGTTAACGAACTTTTTTCATTCCAGTAGTATGTTCAGGTGCCAGTACTGACCGAATTTTTTCCCATAAGGAATATTGTGAAGTAGATTAGTCAATTTCAGACCCCCAAACATACACGTACAAACGCACTTACATAAATACACTTACATAATTGGTCGCATTTGGAGGTGATCGTTATGCGGGGGTCCACTGTATTCCAAACCCCTCCTTTCAAGTGCAGGTGCTGTACTTCCCATCTCCAGGACTCAAGTCTGGCTAACCAATTTCCTTGCTCACACTCCAACAGCTCATCAGGTCTTAAAAATCATTTGTCTCTAACAGAAGGCCATCTGAACTGTGATGTCAGCTTGCTTCTGACAGACAACCACATGCTTCTGACAGCCATCTGAACTGTGATGTCAGCTTGCTTCTGTCAGACAACCACATGCTTCTGACAGACAGCCATCTGAACTGTGATGTCAGCTTGTTTCTGACAGACAACCACATGCTTCTGACAGCCATCTGAACTGTGATGTCAGCATGCTTCTATCAGACAACCACATGCTTCTGACAGACAGCCATCTGAACTGTGATGTCAGCTTGCTTTTGACGGACAACCATATGCTTCTGACAGCCATCTGAACTGTGATGTCAGCATGCTTCTATCAGACAACCACATGCTTCTGACAGAAAGCCATCTGAACTGTGATGTCAGCTTGCTTCTGACAGACAACCATATGCTTCTGACAGCCATCTGAACTGTGATGTCAGCATGTCTCTATCAGACAACCACATGCTTCTGACAGACAGCCATCTGAACTGTGATGTCAGCATGCTTCTATCAGACAACCACATGCTTCTGACAGCCATCTGAACTGTGATGTCAGCTTGCTTCTGACAGACAACCACATGCTTCTGACAGCCATCTGAACTGTGATGTCAGCTTGCTTCTGACTAGAGTGACTGTCAGTGTTTCCTCTTTCTGTTCAAACTACCTTGGAGAGAGACAACCAGTGTTAAAAGAAATTCAACTTATAACCATATTAATGTGTTAGGTTCAACTCCCCTTACCTCTTGGTCTCTAAAAGTCGTTTCTCCTTTGTGATCGTTTTCATTTCAGTTTCGAGGAACTTCCTCAGTGGCTGGATAAACCCCTGAACTGCATTGCTAATAAATTCTCTCTCCACCATCCCAAGACGCTGCTCTGCACCACCTACTTTCAGCAGTGCTGACCCTGTCGATCACAACTAACTTTAACTAAAAACAAAAAATATTTTCAAATCATGAATATTTCTTGCCACCTTTCCTGAAATACGAAGGGTTTTGCCTGAAAAAAATTATTTCATATTAAGAGTATCATAAATACTCACTCCAACAACAAAATTAAAATTCTTGAATTTTCTACCCTTTTTCATATAAAAAACGTATATACAGCTTTCATAAGACCAGGGGCCTACCTTAGGCCACATTTATTGGATAAAAAAGGATACTCATGGATGGTAATATATAGTACTGTATGTAGGCAGCCTGTACTGTCTGCACAGACAGTCTTGCTGTCTGCCAGCTTAGTTCATATTTTGTGCCACTCAGGTGCTGCCCTCTGGGCCTGTCCAAGTCTGTGGGAAGCTGGTCCCACACTCTCACACTCACACAGCAGCCTAGCAGGAAGACACAAGGCCTACTAGCTTTCTCTCTCTCGTGGGATGGCCCTCCCGGGTCATGGGCACAACACACAAGCCTGTGTACCCACCACGACTTAACAATAAAGTAAGAAGCCTCCGAAGACGTATCATTGAACCCCGCTACCATAATACCAATTAATCTTGGTTCACATGTACTGCTACTTCTATGAAAATGCCATAATTTTTTTTTAACAAAGTGGCCATATCTCACAGAGGCCGGGTGACCTAACAAGAAAAATTAAAGTTTTTCTTTTTAAATTTAGTTATTTATCAGAAGGGGTTACTAGCCCCTTGTTTCTGGAGCACTATAAATATTTGAATATATTTCACTAAGCACCTAATACTGTACAGTGGTCCCTCGTTTATCGTCGTTAATCCATTCCTGTAAGTGCGATGATTATCGAAATAGACGATTTTCGAATCAATTTTCCCCATAAGAAATAATGTAAACACAATTAATCCGTTCCTGACACCCAGAAATATTAAAACAAAAATTTTTTTTACATGAAATATAGATGTAGTATATAAACAATACAATGGGACATGATGAATGAAACATTAACAGCATAACACTTAACTTTACTGGCGATTCTTCTTAGTGTATGGAAGACTGGAGGAGAGAGATTGGATTAGTTATTGTTTGGAAGGGGAATCCCCTTCCATCAACACCTCAGGTACCAAGTCCTTTTCTGGGGTTACTTCTCTTCTCTGTTTCTTAATGCCACTAGGACCAGCTTGAGAGTCACTGGAGTCCTGTCTCGCAAAAAAAAGTGTCCAGAGAGCCCTGTTTCTGGTGTCTCTTTAAAACTTCCCTAAAATGGGCCAAGACTCTGTCACTGTACAAGTTGCCAATATGGCTTGCAACATCCTTCTCAGGGTGATGTTTCTCCATAAATCTTTCCATCCTACCCCACATATCAAAAATCTCCTTAATTTCTGAAGAAGGCACCTTCTTCCATCTCTCTTCCTCCTCTTCTGCAGCAAGATTCTGAGCTGCGATCTGTTGCTGTTCCTGCTGAAGCTCTTGCAGTTCCTCAGTGGCTAGCTCTTCATTGTGGTCCTCCACCAACTCTTCCACATCCTCCAAACTCACATCCAACCCCATGGAACTCCCCAATACCACAATAGATTTCACAACTGACATAGGCTCATCAGGGTCAGCCACAAACCTTCATAATCCCTCTGTGGACACAATCTGGCCACAATTTTCTCCAAGCAACAACGGCTTCCTTGATTTCATTTTTCTTTGCCACAATGGAAGATATGGTTGTATGGGGTTTGTTATACATCCTGGCCAGTTCGGCCACACGTACACCACTTTCATATTGTTCAATGATGTTTTTCTTAAATTCAATCATATTTCTCACCTTCTTTACCAAAGGCTTGGCACTAGGAGCTTTCTTTGGAGCCATGGTAGCTTATTTAGCACTTTCAAGCACGAAAATGAAATATTTCGTATGAACAAGTGAGAGGACCATCGCTCACTGGTAAACAATGGCACACTGGCTGGGAAGGGAGATCGAGGCGGCTCAGAGCCGTGAGTACACATCCAAGACGAACGACGATTAGCGAGTCAACCGACCATTTGCGAGCCAATGTTTGGACGAAAATAATGCGACGATTTCCAAAAAGAACAACTATCGAGCCCGACGATTATCGAGGGACCACTGTACAGTACTATGATTAAGACCTATATTAGACTATTTTCTCTGACAAACATATTAACATTAACCCTTTCAGGGTCCAAGGCCCAAATCTGGAGTCACGCACCAGTGTCCAAGAATTTAAAAAAAAAAAATTTGTTATTTTTTCTTATGAAATCGTAGAGAATCTTTTTGTGAAGGTAATAAAACAAAAAGTACGAAATTTGGTGGAAAATTGACGAAATTATGCTCTCGCGAATTTTGATGTGTCAGCGACATTTACGAATCGGCGATTTTGCCGACTTTGACTCCCATTTTAGGCCAATTACATTATTCCAATCAACCAAATTCTTAGCTATTTCACTAGTATTACTTCTATTCTATCGATTGAGCACAAGAAATCGCCAAGTCAACTGTTTCAACTACAAAATAAAGTGATCGGAAATTGTTAATTTGGCCAATTTAACACAAAGTTCAAAATATTCCAATTTCAAAATAGGGTCCAGAATAAACAATGTAGGCATTCCTGGCACTAAACTAACGTTTCCTCTGTTCATTAGTTATGTTTTGAGGCTTTACAAATAAATTCCATTTTGATTTTTTATTCACATAATGAATTTTTATTCACACCAAAAAATAGAAGATTTACTGTTATGCAATACTGTAATATTGTATAAATATCATCACCATATTTGTGAATGTATATTAGACCCACCAGCTGACGTGTATTAGACATGTGAGGTCGTTTGTTTACTCTTGAATATCGGCAAAAATTTAACATTTCCGCTACTTTGAGCTCAGTTTCAAGCCATTTCCAGTGCTAAAACCAATCAAAATCATCTCTATTTCTGTAATATGTCTTCCATTCTATCAAATGAGACCAAGAAATCGCAAATACAACTATAAAAAAACATACGAAAAAACACTGCAAAGTTGCTGTTTTAATCGAAAAATCATGATTTAAGTTTTTTTCTCTCATTATACACAGTGTGCTGCAGGATCTGTTTTATGTGGTGCACACATACCACATAGATGTATTCTCTCATATCTAGGCCCAAATGTACCACTCACAGTTTATCAGAGTGAGCTGAGCTCATGGCGTAGATCTACGGTTTGGACCCTGAATGTAAAGCCGTAGATCTACGAGACGGACCCTGAAAGGGTTAAAAATGATGGTAAATGTAAATAAATAAACCAACTTGGTATTCTGATCTCTCATCTGTCAAACACAGAAAGAATAACCCTCACACAACTTACCATACGCTGTCCCTGAGCCAAAATCATTCCCAGCTTGAACCATATCCAACCCAAAATATTCCAAGTTGCTAAGTCTATTGGGACGGCGCTTCTCAATCTTTTCAAAGATCATATCTTCTACCCTGTTGCCTGTAAATAAGTAAATGCTTTAATTATACAATAACAAGGCCTATAACATCATCATCAAAGGTTCAATGTACAAAACCTCAAAAGTTAAAAATATTGTAAAATATCGAAGTTTTCATAAAAATACAGTGGACCCCCGCATAACGATATTATTTCAATCCAGAAGTCTGTTTGGGTGCCGTTATTGACCGAATTTGTTCCCATAAGAAATATTGTGAATTAGATTAGTCCATTTCAGACCCCTAAAAATACACCTACGAAAGCACTTACAAAAATAAACTTACATAATTGGTCGAGTTGGGAGCTGATCGTTATCCGGGGGTCCACTGTATTAAGATTTTGCTCAATTTTTGAATTAAAATGGATGAAGAGAAGAAAAAACAAATGTACAAGAACAAGGAAAAATATTATAAAGCAAAGGACATAAATAAATTTTAACAAGTCATCATCAACTTAACATCATAGGTTAAGTTAGGTTACTATGTTAGTTCTGGTACAAACTAAACAACTTAACATCATAGGTTAAGTTAGGTTACTATGTTAGTTCTGGTACAAACTAAACAACTTAACATCATAGGTTAAGTTAGGTTACTATGTTAGTTCTGGTACAAACTAAACAACTTAACATCATAGGTTAAGTTAGGTTACTATGTTAGTTCTGGTACAAACTAAACAACTTAACATCATAGGTTAAGTTAGGTTACTATGTTAGTTCTGGTACAAACTAAACAACTTAACATCATAGGTTAAGTTAGGTTACTATGTTAGTTCTGGTATAAGCTAAACAACTTAACATCATAGGTTAAGTTAGGTTACCATGTTAGTTCTGATACAAGCTAAACAACTTAACATCATAGGTTAAGTTAGGTTACTATGTTAGTTCTGGTACAAACTAAACAACTTAACATCATAGGTTAAGTTAGGTTACTATGTTAGTTCTGGTACAAGCTAAACAACTTAACATCATAGGTTAAGTTAGGTTACTATGTTAGTTCTGGTACAAGCTAAACAACTTAACATCATAGGTTAAGTTAGGTTACTATGTTAGTTCTGGTACAAGCTAAACAACTTAACATCATAGGTTAAGTTAGGTTACTATGTTAGTTCTGGTACAAGCTAAACAACTTAACATCATAGGTTAAGTTAGGTTACTATGTTAGTTCTGGTACAAGCTAAACAACTTAACATCATAGGTTAAGTTAGGTTACTATGTTAGTTCTGGTACAAGCTAAACAACTTAACATCATAGGTTAAGTTAGGTTACTATGTTAGTTCTGGTACAAGCTAAACAACTTAACATCATAGGTTAAGTTAGGTTACCATGTTAGTTCTGGTACAAACTAAACAACTTAACATCATAGGTTAAGTTAGGTTACTATGTTAGTTCTGGTACAAACTAAACAACTTAACATCATAGGTTAAGTTGGGTTACTATGTTAGTTCTGGTACAAGCTAAACAACTTAACATCATAGGTTAAGTTAGGTTACCATGTTAGTTCTGGTACAAACTAAACAACTTAACATCATAGGTTAAGTTATGTTACTATGTTAGTTCTGGTACAAACTAAATTTACCTCTCACAAATTTTCATATTTGCCTGTTTTCCTAGGGTTGACAGGGAAATATTAAGATGACACAACCTGAGTACAGCATTAGTACTCAGCTGCTGAGTTAGACACTAACCTGGGTTTGGAATAAGGACAGACTCTGCACCAACCAGCATCTTTTCCGTCCAGTGTCTGGCCGAATCCGCTTGATGGGACAAGGATTCAAAGTGGCCATCTAATTCTGTCTTTTCAGCGCTGCCAATCTTTTCTTCTGTGTACTGAAAATTGTAAAAACACAGATATTTAATACTTGTAAATCTTCTACTTTGTAGCAGAGAACTAATATGTATTTTCCCTATCCAAGAGCTGCAGCTCAACAAGCAGGCTCAATTTCCAAACAAATGGCAACAAGGGTTTGCAGGTCACCATGTATGAAAAACATACAAATATATATAACACACACACACACACACACACACACACACACACACACACACACAGAGCAATGATCAACACACTAGCCGAGGTGGCCAGGAGAGCACACATGGGGGGAGCAAAGTTACTAGTTATGGGTGATTTCAATCACAAGGAGATTGACTGGGAAAACCTGGAGCCCCATGGGGGTCCCGAAACATGGAGAGCCAAGATGATGGATGTGGTACTGGAGAACCTCATGCATCAACATGTTAGAGACACTACCAGAGAGAGAGGAGAGGATGAACCAGCAAGGTTGGACCTTGTATTCACCATGAGTAGTTCGGACATCGAGGGTATCATGTATGAAAGGCCCCTGGGAGCTAGTGATCATGTGGTTCTGTGCTTCGACTACATAGTTGAACTCCAAGTGGAGAGAGTAGCAGGAATAGGCTGGAAAAACCAAACTACAAAAGGGGGAACTACTCAGGCATGAGGAACTTCCTCCAAGACATTCAGTGGGAGAGGGAACTGACAGGAAAACCAGTACAAGAAATGGACTATGTAGCAACAAAATGCAAGGAGGCAGAGGAGAGGTTTGTTCCCAAGGGAAACAGAAATAATGGGAAGAACAGAACGAGTCCTTGGTTCACCCAAGGTGTAGGGAGGCAAAAACTAGGTGTACTAGAGAATGGAAAAGGTACAGAAGACAGAGAACTCAGGAAAATAAAGAAATCAGCTGAAGAGCCAGAAACGAATATGCACAGATAAGAAGGGAGGCTCAGAGACAATATGAAAATGACATAGCATCAAAAGTAAAGACTGACCCGAAGCTGTTGTACAGCCACATCAGGAGGAAAACAACAGTCAAGGACCAGGTAATCAGACTGAGGAAGGGTGATGGGGAATTCACAAGAAACGACCGAGAGGTATGTCAGGAGCTCAACACCAGATTTAAAGAGGTATTTACAGTGGAAACCAGTAGGACTCCAAGAAATCAGAACAGGGGGGCACACCAGCAAGTGCTGGATGAGGTACATATAACCAAGGAGGAGGTGAAGAAGCTGCTATGCGAACTTGACACCTCAAAGGCGGTGGGACCAGACAACATCTCTCCATGGGTCCTTAAAGAGGGAGCAGAGATATTGTGTGAGCCATTAACAAAGATCTTCAACACATCATTTGAAACTGGGCAACTCCCTGAGGTATGGAAAATGGCAAATGTGTCCCAATTTTTAAAAGGGAGACAGACATGAGGCACTAAACTACAGACCTGTATCACTAACGTGTATAGTATGCAAGGTCATGGAGAAGATCATCAGGAGGAGAGTGGTGGGGCACCTGGAAAGAAACAAGTGTATAATTGACAACCAGCACGGTTTCAGGGAAGGAAAATCCTGTGTCACAAACCTACTAGAGTTTATGACAAGGTGACAGAAGTAAGACAAGAGAGAGAGGGGTGGATCGACTGCGTATTTTTGGACTGCAAGAAGGCTTTCGACACAGTTCCTCACAAGAGGTTACTGCAAAAGCTAGAGGACCAGGCACACATAACAGGAAAGGCACTGCAATGGATCAGAGAATATCTGACAGGGAGGCAACAACGAGTCATGGTACGCGACGAGGTGTCAGAGTGGGCGCCTGTGACAAGCGGGGTTCCACAGGGGTCAGTCCTAGGACCTGTGCTGTTCTTGGTATACGTGAACGACATAACGGAAGGGATAGACTCAGAAGTGTCCTTGTTTGCAGACGATGTGAAGTTAATGAGAAGAATCGAATCTGACGAGGATCAGGCAGGACTACAAAGAGATCTGGACAGGCTACAAGCCTGGTCCAGCAACTGGCTCCTTGAATTTAACCCTGCCAAATGCAAAGTCATGAAGATTGGGGAAGGGCAAAGAAGACCGCAGACACAATATAGTTTAGATGGCCAAAGACTGCAAACCTCACTCAAGGAAAAGATCTGGGGGTGAGTATAACACCGAGCATATCTCCTGAGGCGCACATCAATCAGATAACTGCTGCAGCATACGGGCGCCTGGCAAACCTACGGATAGCGTTCCGATACCTCAGTAAGGATTCGTTTAAGACTCTGTACACCATCTACGTCAGGCCCATACTGGAGTATGCAGCACCAGTTTGGAATCCACACCTAGTCAAGCACGTCAAGAAATTAGAGAAAGTGCAAAGGTTTGCAACAAGACTAGTCCCAGAGCTACGGGGATTGTCCTATGAAGAAAAGTGTGAGGGAAATCGGCCTGACGACACTGGAGGCCAGGAGGGTCAGGGGAGACATGATAACGACATATAAAATACTGCGCGGAATAGACGAGGTGGACAAAGACGGGATGTTCCAGAGATGGGACACAGACACAAGAGGTCACAATTGGAAGTTGAAGACTCAGATGAATCAAAGGGATGTTAGGAAGTATTTCTTCAGTCATAGAGTAGTCAGGCCATGGAACAGCCTAGAAAGTGATGTGGTGGAGGCAGGAACCATACATAGTTTTAAGGCGAGGTATGATAGAGCTCATGGGGCAGGGAGAGAGAGGACCTAGTAGCAATCAGCAAAGAGGCGGGGCCAGGAGCTGTGAATCGACCCCTGCAACCACAAATAGGTGAGTACAAATAGGTGAGTACACACACACACACACACACACACACACACACACACACACACACGGGGCCAGGAGCTATGACTCGACCCCTGCAACCACAAATAGGTGAGTACACACACACACACACACACACACACACACACACACAGGGAGGGAGACACAGAAACAAGAGGCCACAATTGGAAGTTGAAGACACAAATGAGTCAGAGAGATAGTAAGAAGTATTTCTTCAGTCATAGAGTTGTAAGGCAGTGGAATAGCCTAGAAAATGACGTAGTGGAGGCAGGAACCATACACAGTTTTAAGACGAGGTTTGATAAAGCTCATGGAGCGGGGGGAGAGGGTCTAGGCAACCGGTGGAG